GACAACATAAACAGACCCCTGTCTCTACTAAAAATAGAAAGAAATTAGCTGGATAACTAAAAATATACAGAAAAAATTAGCTGGGCGCAGTGGCTCACACCTGCAATCCCAGCACTCTGGGAGGCCAAGATGGGAGGATGGCTCGAGGCCAGGAGTTCGAGACCAGTCTGAGCAAGAGCGAGACCCCATCTCTACTAAAAATAGAAAGAAGTTAGCCAAACAACTAAAAATATATAGAAAGAATTAGCCAGGCGCGGTGGCTCACGCCTGTAGTCCCAGCTACTCGGGAGTCCGAGGCAGGAGGATCGCTTGAGGTCAGGAGTTCGAGACCAGCCTGGGCAACATAGCGAGATCCCGTGTCTACTAAAAAATAGAAAGAAATGATCTGGACAACTAAAAATATATAGAAAAACTTAGCCAGGCACGGTGGCGCGTGCCTGTAGTCCCAGCTACTCGGGAGGCTGAGGCAGGAGGATCACTTGAGCCCAGGAGTCGGAGGTTGCTGTGAGTGAGGCTGACGCCACGGCACTCACTCTAGCCCGGGCAACAGAGTGAGACTCTGTCTCAAAAAAAAAAATAAAATAAAATGTCATCTACTGAGAGCTCAATCAACTCCACCTGTAGTTCTTTGGGGGCCTTGATGACACCAATCAGGTGAGGCTGAAATGCTAATTCGAATGTGATGTCGTGATTTCTCAAAGTCACTGAACCTTTCATTGTTTTCTCCAATCCGTCTCCAATGGTCTGGCTCGATTCCTAGTTCCCCTGTGTAGCATCTCGCCCCTCGCGCCCTAGAATATAACGTCAGAGGACGATGTGTCCCAACACAGTGGCCAGTGCAGGGTACCCAGCAGGCGCTTAATAAGAGCTTGTTGCAATGAATGCATTGATGCATGGGTGCATGGAGGGATGGAGGGAAGGATCCCCCGATCTTGGGCTCCTGGAGGCTTCAGGCGGGAGGAGCCGGGTGGCAGAGCGGCCTCGCAGTGGGTGACCTCGGTCAAGTCCCACCCCGAGGCGCCCGCGGGCCCAGCGACGGACGAAGCTTCGGGGCCGGAACGGCTGCGCCCCGAGCGCCGGTTGC